TTGAGCCACAGGCACCGAGCCACCCAGACCCACTTGATGTTGAAGTCACGGCACACCTCCCCACTTGCCTCTCTCTATCCACCTTCTTTTGCACTGACCCATCTGAAGGTAAATAGCAGCTGCTGTGACCCTGTAACTTCCTTCTCCCAAGAACAAGGACCTCCCTGGAGTTACCAAAGACAGGAAAGTTGTCCAAGGCTCTCATTGTCCCAGGCATGTCCTTTAGGGCTTTCTAGAAATCCTGGGATCCAGTAGGGAATTTCTCATTGCATTTCTTTATCTCCCGCCTTTCCCTCTGGCCCCTCAACAAGGATAGGTTTGACAAATCCAAGCCAGAGTCTGGATGGGTCTGATCATTTCCTCTCAGTCAGACATAGGTTGATCATTTTTGGCAAGAGCGATGCCGGGAGATGCCACAGTTGTCATGCCAGGAGGCTTGCGTGTCAGTCTGTCCCTTGCCAGGCCATGCTGAAAGTGGTTGACATTTTTTTCTCATAGCCCTGGAGGCGGGGTGCCAGCATGGTCAGCTTCCCTTGAGGGAAGGGACCAGGTGGAGGAAAACACAAGGCAGCTCTCTGGCATCTCTTTTCTAAGGGTGATGATCCTGTCATGAGGGCTCCACTCTCATGACCTCATCACCGCCCAAGGGCCCCACCACCATATAACATTACCTTGGGGATTAGGATTCCAACAAATTTGGGGGGGACACATTTGGTCCATTGCAAAACACTGGTTCCTTATAAGAGGATGGTCTTTGGAAACCAGCAGGGGGCCTGCTCACTCCTGGGCTGTCCCTGTTCCTAGGCTCTAAGGATAGAGTTAGGAAATTCCCTACAAGTTCCTGACAATGCCCCAATGCCACCCCAGTCCCCCTGTCATCCCCCCAACATGTCTGCACCTCCCTTCAGAACTGAACTTTTGAAATGTTGCTGGGCTGGAGCTGGGTGCAGTGGCTCACGCCTGTAACCCCACATTCTGGGTGGCTGAGGTGAGAGGTTCACTTAAGGCCTGGAGTTTGAGGCTAACCTGGGCAATGTAGCAAGACCCTGTTCCTAAGAAAAAAGTTTTTAAATTAGCCAGGCGTGATTTGTAGTTCCACCTACTCATGAGGTCAAAGCAGGAGGATCACTTGAGCAACCAAGAGTTCAAGGCTGCGGTGAGTTGTGATCATGCCATCGCACTCCAGTCTGGGTGACAGAGTGACAACTTATCTAAAAAAAAAAAAATTGTCCTTGGGAAAGAGCATACAGAGAAGGGCACTCAGGAGAGGAAGAATTTCTACCACATCAACGTATCCCAGACCAGAAGCCCTGGAACCTCAGCCAGAGGACAAAAGAAGGATGAGCTGCCTGGGGCCCCAGGACTCCCCAGAGAGCTACTTCGTGAAGACACCTGCAGGAATGGGAGGCTTAAGGGATAACCCTGAGGGTGGGTAAGCCCTGCATCCAGGTGGCTGCAAATTTCTGTTCTCATTTCTTTAAAACACTATGAAGATATGGCAGAAAGTTCAAACAGTGCAGATGGCCAGGAAGCAAAAGCAGAGGGCGCCCTGGTTGTCAGAGGCCACCTGCAAGGCAGCTCCTGGGTCCTTTCCCAGCTGCTGCAAGCACAGACTCAGAATCATCTAGCGCGGTGGCACCTGTGGCTCAAAGGAGTAGGGTGCCGGCCTCATATGCTGAAGGTGGTGGGTTCAAACCCAGCCCTGGCCAAAAACTGCAAAAAAAAAGAATAACCTAGCACAATGGTTTTCCTCAATGTTCTGTCCCCCACCCAATCGTATCAGTTTTTGAGGGCTGCCAAAGTAGCACAAAGTGGTGGGTTAAAATCCCAGACGTTTACTTCCTCAGTCTGCCAGTGCAGTCTCCCAGCTCCCTCTGCGCTCCATGGCCGACAGCTGCATCCCCTGTCCGCCGCTGCCTTCATCGTCACGCGGAATGCTGTGCGCATGCGTGTCTGTCCAAATCTACCTTTTAAAAAATATTTATTCTTTACAGAGAAAAGCGACTTCCTGGCTACAGAGACTCTTCTCCGAAGCCGCCCAGGTCCCGGCGTGACCCCTCTGTACTTCTGCTCCCGGTTACTCGTTCCAGAAGGTGCTTTCCGGGGTAGCGCGCAGGCCCCAAGGTCTTTGTGAGATTCCGCGCTGGCGAATGCAGCCAGGGCCAGGAAGTGCAGAAGGTGACGGTGCAGCCTGTCAAGCTCGTCTTCAGATACTTACGGAATAGCTCCGGATTCGGGTGTGGCTCTAGAGATAGTGACTGTGCGGACAGAGGGCTGCGTCGCTGGTTTTGATGAGCGTATGAACCTTGTGTTAGAGGATGCTGAGGAGATTCATCCTAAAACTAAAGTCAGGGAAACAACTGGGTCGGATCATGGCAAAGAGATAATATCGATCTTCTACAAAGTGTCTCCACCTAGAAATCATCAATGAAGTGAGAAATTGTTGAGAAGGCAGTACAGGATTTGGGGGCATACTCTGTTGGGAGTATCGTTCTAAAACATTTGTTCATAGGGTTAGGATTACCCTTGTGTTATTGTAAAATGATAATAAATGCTGTGGGATTGTTTTTGTTAAAAACATAACTATTTATTCTTATTTTTTTAGAGATGGGGTTTCACTATGTCACTCAGGCTGGAGCTTGGTAGCCATTCACAGGCATGATCACAATTCACGGCAGCCTTCTGCTTCTGGGCTCAAGCAGTCCCCTGCCTTAGTCTCTCAAGTATCTGGGACTACAGGTGTCTGCCACTGCACCCAGCTCAAATCTTCCTTTGGCAGACACTAGTCACATTGGGTTGGGACCAGCCCTCACAACCTCATTTTAACCAAGTTACTTCTGTAAGGACCTCCTGAGGTACTGTGGGTTAGGATCCCAGGATAGGTTTTTCAGGAGACACAATCCAGTCTATAATGTCACCTAATCTCAGACAAGACTCATGGTGCAGCAGGCCAGTGTGGACCCTCCTCTCTGTCCTCTTTCCCTGGCACACTGGGACAGACCAGGATAGCAGCTGCACCCCAGGGATTCTGCCACCAAGTGGGGCAGCAGACACATCCCTGTGCTTTAGGAGGAAACATGGGCTAACTCCCAGGTGGGCAGGACACTAGAAGAAAGAACTTAGATGACATCTGACGCTGGACAAATGACAGTGTGATCCCATTTCTGCCGGTTGCAGAGAACCTTATCTCATTTGGCTAAGTGTGAGGCAAAATATTTTCATGTTTTGTTGGTGCTTTCTGTTTCCTTTTCTCCGAGACACCAGTCAACATCTCTGTCCACTTCCTCCTTTTTCTTATGCCCATTAGCAACACACTCATATACACACAGGCACCTGGCAAGCCAGGCAGGTGTGGAGGCTTCAGGGTTTCCCTACAGTTGGTGGTTTGTCTGCCCGGGATGCCAGAAGGTGGCAGGTGGGGCGCTGGCCACACTGGTGGGAAATAGCTGGAACACTGGTACCAGAATGGAGGTAGAGGCTGGGTGGAGGGAAAACAGAGGTTCT